TTTTTTTTTTTTTTAACGATTAGCAGCTGGGCGGTAGTGATGGACGCCTTTAATCCCAGCACTCTGGAGGTGGAGGCAGGCTGATCTCTGTAGTTCGAGACCAGCCTGGTCTAGAAGAGCTAGTTCCAGGACAGACTCCAAAGCCACAGAGAAACCCTGTCTCGATAAACAAAAAACAAAAAACAAAAAAACCAAACCAAAACAAACCCAAAAATGATTAGCAATAGTGGTTTGAGAAAAGAGACTGAATCCTAGAACTATTTTGAATGTAAACAGTGAAAGGGATATAGAAACAGAGGATAACATTATTGCTTTTTGGCTTGAGAACTAGAACCTGCAGGAGGGAAAGAGACAGGAAGGGAGTCAGGAAAGAGTCTCGAGTTGTATTAGTTTTCAGTAGCAGTGAGTCTTGGTGAACAAGGAGTTGGGGAGGTCTAGGCATGTGTTGCGGTTTGGATATTAAGCGTCTCCAAGAAGGGCATCGATCATGCATTAAAGACATAGGCCCTAATGTAGCATGTTCAGATCTGGGCCTTTTGGGGAATGACTGGGTCATAAGGGCTCTAATGTCACCAGAAGATTTATTTCTTGATGCTTTGTGGGGGCATTTTTGGGAGGATGGGGCATTGGTGGAGGAAGCAAGTCATCTCTGGGACACGCCATGGAAGAATGCATCTTGTTCCCTGCTCCTTGTTCTCTGTTCTTCCTGGCTGCCAATAAGGTAAGCAGCTTTGACACACCATGCTATCTTTGCCAAAGTATATTATCTTGCTTTGAGCCCAAAGCAATGGAGCCAGATGATCATATATTGAAACCCCTGACTCTGTGAGGCAAAATAAATCTTCCTTCCCTTACACGGACTTTCTCAATTTAAGAATTTGTCAGTAACAGAAAGTCTGACTAACTGCAGACAGAACTCTGAGCATCAAAGCTCATGGACGGAATTTTAATACCCAGTGATTAGACAGAGAATGCTATGTGAAAATTGGTATCAGACAGCTGCCTGGGGTCATGACTACCCAGAAGCTAAGGAAAATGCCTGGGAAGCCTCCCTCAGCACCTCTGCTGACACCCTGATTTTGGAATTCCAGCTTCCAGAACTGTGAAAAACCAAACCTTTCTGTGTTCCTAGCCTTTCAGGCTGTGGCATCTTGTACCTGCTGCCCTCTACACTGGTGCATGATGGAGAATGGTGATTGAAGGGCAGTAATCCTGGTGGCATTAAAAGAACTTGATTCAAATGGGACCCAGAAATAATACCAGATGGGAAACTGAAGAGAGTATTGATATGAATACCTTTTAAAGGGCTTCTCTCTCTCTCTCTCTGTCTCCGTGTTTCTCTCCCTTCCTTTTCTTTTATGTTTCTTCCTTTTATAAAAATCCTTTACTTTATCCTAGTTATAGCAATACAATTTATAAATTAAGTAACACTGTTAATAGAATCATTTGATATAGTTTTTTAATAGAAGAAAAAAGGGAAAAGTGTCAGGTCATTAACCCCCCCCCCTTTTTTTTATTGCTGGTCACTGAGGCAATTGTGCTCAGTGACAACTCATCTAACTCCTTGTGCACTGATGGTCAGAGGAATAAAAGAAGGTTCAACCTTCCCAAGCACTGCCTCAGAGAAGAAAAACATGGGATATTTTTGGGCAGAAAAATGGTTCTTGCTACTTCAATGCATGGAATGTTCAATTCACATATTTACTATAAGGCAGGGAGAGGGGCTACACTCCATCCTTCCTCACTACCTAATATGACCCTCTCTGGGTCTCCTTTTTTCATTTCTGAGTTTGTGCCACCTTCCACAACATTATATTTTCCAGGTGCATCCTTTTCCCTACACAGTTCATTTTTCTTTACAGCTGAATACTATTTCACAATGCGCACACACCACGCCTTCATTATCTATTCTTCTGCTAATGTACATCTAGACTACTTCCATTTCTTTATCATTGCAAACCGAGAAGCAGTGAGCGTGGGTGTGGGCTCATCTCTGTGGTAGGATGTAGTCCTTTGTGTCTACACCCAGGAGCGAGATAACTGGGTCATAATAGTAGTTCTGTCTTTCATTTTTTGAGGAACATCCAAGCTAATTTCCATACTCTCTATACTGGTTCTCACTCCCACAGCAGCGAATAAGGGACCTTATTTCCCACATCCTTTCCAGTGTTTTTCAGATTTTCCTGGCAACAGTCACTCTGATTAAGGTGACATCTCAAGTTGTTGTAATTTGTATTTCTCTTGTCATTAAGGATACTAAACACTTTAAAAAGTAGTTATTGGCCGTTTGTGTTTCTTTTCAGAACTGTCTGTTCACTTCCGTACATCACTTCCTGACTGGTGCTTTTGTTTCCTGGATAGTGTGTGTGTGTGTGTGTGTGTGTGTGTGTGTGTGTGTGTGTGTGTGTGTGTGTTGTGAATTCTGGTTATTATCCTTCTGCCTGAAGTATCGCTGATAAAGATTTTCTCCCATCCCTTGGGGTATTTGCTTTGTTGATAGTTGATTTGCTGTGCAGAAACTTTTATTTTCATGTTGCCCCATAGTATACTTACAATGAACTCTAAGAGAAAGACATTAGGGAAAACATCTCATTCATAACAGCTCCAAAAATGAAGGTAACTATGAATGAACTACATGGAAGAAGTGAAAGACCTATGCAATGAAAACTTCAAGCCATTGAAAAAACAAATCAAAGACACTAGGCAATGGAAAGACCTTTCACACCTCTTATTGGTAGAATTAATGTAATAAAAACAGTTATATACCAAAATTAACCTACATATCTAATGCAATATTCCTTAAAATTCAGATATCATACTTTACATATCTAGAAAAAAAAACTAACAGAAGTATTCATGAGGAACCAGAAAAGGCCTTGAATGGCTAAAGCAATCTCCCAGAGAAAGAACTCAGCTGGGATATCACAAGACCTAACCTCATAACATCTTACAGAGCTTTTGGTGCTGTGGTCAATAAAAAAAACAGATGAAGGCAATACTAAGTTATCATTCCTGAATCTCCCAGCTTGTGCTGGGCGTTGTGTATAGAAGTTATCTTCATTTCATCCAATTCCCATGGTAACAAGGAAACACCATATTGACTCTATTTTGTAGATGAGGAACTGAAACTGGGGGAGAGGGCAGAGGAAGAGGACTATAGCTATAGCTAGTGAGTAGATTTGGGACCGAAATAAAAACATGTAACCCTAAATCAGTGCCTCACTAGCCAGTTACTCTGATGTTTTGTCTTTGATTTCCAGCACATTCCAAGCTCTTTAGCAGATTAAAACAGAAACTCTGTTCTCTGAAGATGTCACCAAAAGAAAACAACAGTTATAAAACCCCAGTCCTTAAAGCGAAGAAGTAAAGGCCCAACTGATGGGGGAAGTGCTTCTGTGAATGTGTTTGTCTTATTGGATGATAAATAAAGTACTGTTTGGCCAATTAGACAGCAAGTGAGGTGGGACAAGGAGTCAAGGAGGATTCTGGGAAATGTAGTAAAGAAGTGGTGATCCAAGCAGGAAGTGACATAGCAGGGAGACTCATATATAAGCAAGGGCAAGAAGGAAGTTGCCCCTTTTTCGCTCTTCCTCCTGCTCTCTGTCTGCTCTGAGCCGACATGTGATCCCAGGATGAGGATACCAGTGGAAGGCATCCTACATAACATAAGTCTTATAAAATATATAGATTTATTATAATTAAGACTGAGCTAGCAGATGAGAAATCCTAGTCATTGGCCAAGCAGCATTTGTATCTAAGTCTCTGTGTGTTACTTGGGACCTTAACATGGCAGTGGGCAGACCTTGGGCGGCCTGACAGAAAGTGCCCATATGGCAGCAGGACTCGGGGGTGGGGGAGGCTGCAGCGGAAAGACTTAATGGTTAGTTAATGGAACATCCTTCTTCTCACACATGACTTGTTGTACTTAAAACTATAAATTCTTAAACTCGATATAAATCTTAGGCAAAAGTGTCTCATTTCTGCCAACCTCTGACTTCACTCATGCTCCAGCCTCTGTCACCCTGTCTGTCCCCAAGCCTTCCATGGAACTACACATTTCATTTCCACAGTTACTGTCCTAGAGTAGCAGCTGGCGGGCTAGTCGGAATGGCTGTGACACCTCCTGGTAGCCGGTCCTCACTCCCTTTCCTGTGCCACCCGCACCAGTTCTGTACACAGAAGCAACTGGCAGGAAGTTATGTGTATTTGGAGTTTCACGTCATGATGCTGAAGATAAGATAACTGCCAGATAGTGGTTTAAAAATCACACAGTGCTGCACTGTGAACTGAAGCTATTTCATTCTTAAAAGTATAAATATGAAGTTGCAGGTGTGGGGGGAGCAGAATATGTTGGGAGGGCCTGGGAGGAGGTGAAGGGAGGAAATGGACGTGGGTATGATCATAATACATTATACAGATGTATCAAATACTCAAAGAACAACACCATTACAAAATAAGCTGGAACACAAACATGGAGCCTACAGACATAAGAAAAGCATCAAACCTTTTTTTTTTTACTTCTAGACTGTAGTCATTCTCTTAAGCCACTGTTCCCAATATAAAAGCTTGTGTGCAGTCTATGGAAGCAGTAACACCAGTGGCTCACAGCCAATCACAACAGTCCCACTTCCTGGAGTCTTCCCGACAGGAGTAGTGCTGTGAGTCCATCTAGACACCACAGTCAGTTTGGCCTGACTAGTTCTTCTTTTCCCTCTGGGGCCCACATTTAAACAGCTGAAGTTCAGTAAGTATCTACTGAATACTACTAAATGAATACAAGATTTTGGACATTGTAAGACCACCTAAATTATGTGTGCAATAACTGGATGCTTCCATATTTAAATTTGGCTATTGCCTGATTTCTTAAAATGCCAATTTTGAGCTCTCTCAGGAACTGATTTTCTTTTCCATTTTTAACTGTTGATCTGCAATAATACAATATTTTACATCAATCACATACTGTCCCTTTTATCTAAAATGCCAATCCTTTTAAGGTTTACCTTGTAGCATGACCAAAGACTGTCGAAGCCGGCTGTTCTCCTTTCGGATGTTGGTTAGTTTCTCTTTCAGGTTTTTGATTTTGGTACAAAGTTCCTCCTTGGACAGTTCTGCTAAGGGAGTTTCATCATCACTGGAGCTCTCACCAGGCAGGAAGGCATTTCCTGAATATGGGTCTCTCTAAAACACAAGTCATGCACACACACAAAAAAAGACTTCTTGCAGTTCCTTTAACAGCTAACCCAAAGCCACTTAATCAGACCCATGGATGCCTGTTTCCACATGCAGCTCCCACAATGCATGGTCCTGCTTTGTCCTCCACCCTCTAGAACTCAGGAAAGATGAGGGAAAAGGTTCATGATCATCTTCTAGTGGAAGTTAGGACTCTGACTTTCTGCCTAACCAGTGATAAAACAGCATATTATATAATGTGGTAGACCCTGCAAAGCCACCCTTTGGCTAACTTTGGCTCTTCTGAGATGGTGCCTGCCTTGTCCTAAGTATTTCAAAATCTGACTTCCTTTCTGTAGCAGGAAAAGTAAAAGACCCAGAGACTGATATTGGGGTTCAAACTTCAAGCTGAAGATCAGAAAAGCAAAGCAGCTGGCCACTAGCTTCTTACCTCTACCTCGGGTTGAGTGGGCTGATCCTGTCCACGAGCTCTCACCAAACCTCAGACTGTAGCCTCTCCTCAGTGTGGCTGGAGAATGAATGCCTCATACTCAATTCTGATACTAACTTATATACTTCTCACGAGTCCTGGGATTAAAGGCGTGAGCTCTGTTTCTCTTTAGGACTGAATCAATCTTGTGTAGATCTGGTTGGCCTTGGACTCACAGAGATACATCTACCTCTTAATCCTGAGTCCTAGGATTAAAGGTGAGTACCACTACCCCCTAGCTTCCGGCTGCTGGGATTAAAGGTGTGTTCCTGGCTTCTATGGCTTGTCACTGACTGTGCTTTCTGAATCATCAGGCAAGTTTTAATAAATCACAAATAATGTATCACTACACCTTCCTTCATCTGGGTTAGCATACAGGCACAGTGGTATTGTCTTTAATCCCAGGACTTTGGCAGCAGAGACAGGAGGTCAGCCAGAGATACAGACCAGTCTGGCTAGACAGAAAAATAAAGAAACAAACAAACCTTGTCTTAAAAAAAAAAAGAAAGAAAGAAAGAAAGAAAGAAAGAAAGAAAGAGGAAGCTTAACAAGCTGGCAGCACATTCTTGCTCTGTATACCAGCTACAGATGATTAGGAACAGTTAAAAAGACGCCAAGGGTTTTAAGGACAGTAGTCACAGGGATAAGTACGGGGCAGAATTAAAGTAAGGATGTGAGGGGTCTCTTAGTGTGATGGTGACTATTTAATTCTCTACAGCATTAATCTTGGAGAAATTCATGGAACCACATTTTTGATATGTGCATTCTTCCGCATGCATTTTAGACATCCATAAAATGTTCTTTTTAATTCTCTGGTGATTAAAAGCCAGGAATGGAGCTGAAAGGTAGGGCATTTGCTGAGCATGCACAAGACCTTGGTGTCATCACCAGCACTGTAAGTAAAAGGTCTGATAAGTACATTTTTAAAGAATAACTTGTTTTTTTTCCCAGTTAGAGTCTAAATCTTTTATGTTCATGCGTGTATCTTGTTTTGAGAATAGATGTCATTAATGAAAAGCAAAAAAGAGTGTAACCTCTTTATGAGGAAAACAAAACAAACAAACAAAAAAAACCTTTACTGAAACATGCCCTCAATGTAGAGGGAAATGTTCAGAAATGAAAGGCCATTAAGTAAAAATATTGATTATCCTCCAGCTGATCGATGTTAAGTTAATGCAATTCCAATGAAAAATTTTAAAAAATTGTCTATAAATTGAAGGTCCCCCGTGGAGGACCTCACTGTCCCTGGGGAGGAGGCGGGGATGGGTTGGTGGGGAACATGGGAGGATGGGAGGGTGAGGGAATGGGGGGGATTGATATGTAAATATGAGTGCCTCTAAAATAAAAAAATTGTAAATGCAATAGCCAATAATATCCAAAGAGTTCTTAAAGAATTATCAGAAATTGAGACTTCTCTATAAATCCAAAGTATTAAAAATTCAGACTGATTCAGTTTGGTACTGATACAGAGATAGACAACATTACCAAGAAGTAGGATCGAGTAGTTATAAGAAATAGATGCCTGAGAGTTGTGATGTATGACAGGGTGGGCTCACCTGGGAAGTAAGAGCTACTGGACCCAGGATTCTGGAATGCTGGCCCATTCAGCTTTGTCAAAACAGGTAAAGAAATGGATGCTGGCTTCATTCTAATCACATATGCATGCACTAACACACACATACACTCACACACACTGATTCAGCATGCACTAATACATACACATACACACAGATTCATGCACACATACACCCACATGTACGTGTTTACATAAGTGTACACATATACATGCATATTTACACACACACACACACACACACACACACACACACACACACCTGCATTCAAATCCCTGCAGATGGATTAAGAATTTATACATCAAAAGCAAAATGCAAAAATTGTATAGGAAATATAAATGTATGTATTTTAAACTTGGTGTGGGCATTTCTTAGATATAAAATCTCTGATCACAATATTAAGAAAGAACTTCTTAAGGCCACAATCACCATCCATTACCATTTGGGCAAAACCCATGGACTCTGAAAAAACTACACAGAGTGGGCATGGGTCATTTAAATTCTCTATATGTTGCTGTAGGAAGGTAATTTGGCACACTGCTTTGGAAAGCACTGTAATATTATCCTAGAGTGTTTAAAATTTATCTCCTCTGTGCTTCTGCAAATAATCCCAAGATCTCTGTGTAAATACAAGAAAACATGCCCAAGACTTTCAAATGAAGCAAGATTAATAATGGTGAGAATCTGAAGATAATCCAAATGTCTACTGTCAGGACAGGGGACAGGGCCCTTGTGCTGGTCTCTGACAGTGGGATTTAAACAGCACTGTTAGTGGATAACTCAGAGCCACAGGAATCCATGTTAGTACAATGTAGAGTGAAAAAAGCAAGTTGCAGATATAACTGTACAATGTATCATTTGTACAGTTAGAAAGTAGACAAGCTGTGAGTAGCACACACATGTGCCAGCTCCTTAGGAGGCTGAGGCAGGGGGATCACTCGATTCCAGGAAACAAGGCCACTCTAAACAACACAGTGAAAACCCTCCCCAAAAGAGAGACAGGGGCGAGAAACTGAAATGAATGATTAATTATTTAGAAACTTGTATTATACCTAATATATAATCTACAATATGTAATAGATATTTATATATGATTCAATATTACATAAGTGTGCTTTTTCTTTGAAAAGCAGGCTAAGAAGAACACAGATCAGTGGATCGAGTGGTTGCTTAGCATGTGCAAGGCTTAAATCCTGTGGCAGGGAGGGAGGGGACTGAATACATTATAGGCAAGACTGATAGGGATTGTTTGGAGGCTATCTGAGGATAGGAAGTGGTTTGATAGGGTTTATTTCTTTTTAAATAAACATATGCATAGAAAAAAGAGAGCATTTATCCCACAGTCACCCCATCCAAACAGCAGTGTCCCTATCATTTGTGTGAATCAGAAGCTTTCTTCATGTTAGAACTTTTTCCTTTTCTAGTGTCAGGCTTCTTTTTCCAAGCTTATATTCTAGGCCAGTAGTTCTCTACCTGTGGGTCTCGACCCTTTTGGGATCACCAAAGACCACTGGAAAACACAGATATTTACATTTGGATTCATAAAAGTATCAAGATTACAGCTATGAAGTAGCAATGAACATAATTTTGTGGTTGGAGTTACCACAGCATGAGGAACTGTATTAAAGGGCTGCAGCATCAGGAAGGTTGAGAACCACTGCTCTAGTCAACTTGGGATTTGATCTTTATAAATCTAATACTAGGCTGTACACAGTAGGCATTTTTACCGTCTCTATTATGTGGTAGGATGTGGTAGGCTTTTCTTATGCTCATTCCCATTCTTTCTTTCTCTCTAGTTTCCATTCATAGTTTCTCTATTAGGATTGTCACAAAGCTAATTCTGTTATTTATTAGGTCAGAGAAAAGAAAGAACAGATTCCTCCAAAAGAAACCTAGTGTTTATGAGGTCAAAAGTGAGGCAATAATTGGAAATGTCTTAAATGATGGTGAGATTAAAAAAAAAAAACTTGGGGCTGGAGAGATGGCTCAGAGGTTAAGAGCACTGACTGCTCTTCTAGAGGTCCTGAGTTCAATTCCCAGCAACCACATGGTGGCTCAAAACCATCCGTTATGAGATCCGGTGTTCTCTTCTGGTGTGCAGATATACATGGAAGCAGAATGTTGTATACATAATAAATAAAATCTTTAAAAAACCCTGAAACTACTAAGTTGGTATGTGTGTACACACACACACATGCAACACACACACACACACACACATACATGTATATATAAATATACATATACATACATAAGAGCCTGTGTGTGTGTATCTTACACATCACTGGAAATTTTGGTGTTAAAGGACATTTATAAAGACCAGAATTCAGATGTGTATAGCATGAAGGTTTTTGAAAACTGAGCCTGAGAGTAGAAAAGAAGAAGTCAGTGTCACAGGGAAAGCTCATGCTATAAGGCACTCTGGTGCTTGGAGCGGGGGACTGGAGAATAAAGAACAGGAATTTCAGAAAATCAAAGTCAAATGTCTGCATTCCTCCTTCACTGGTTCTTTTGGCAGAATTTCAGGAGAGGGGACATAGAGGGAAACATCCATGTTAGGGAGAGGCAATGGGGCCGCAGACTAGCTCCTTGCTTGTCATCCTTCTAAAATCTGTAAAGAGGCTCCGGGTCCAGAATAACTTTAGGGCAGCATGTTGCCTCTCTGAGTCATAGATGAGAAACAGTCAAAGAGATGCTTAGACAAGTGGTTGAAATCTAGCATAGAGACTCTCCAGAGCTTGTGCAAAGCAGCTAGAAATTCAAAAGGGTCCTTGTGTCCTAGTCAGGAGATAGGCAAGCGTTTGGGGGAACTGACAAAAAGAGAGGATGTAGCAAGAGGCTATACAAAGTGCCAGGGTCTTGTGGAAGGTGGCCATGGTTGCCAAGCTGCCAAAGCTTAGGGGTGGAGCCAACAGAATCCCTAATGGGCCTGGAAGGGTGGGCTCACTGGAACACTAATGAATACCTAGCAACTAGTCAGGGACATTAAGAACTATGGTGGAAAAGATATGTCCCTCCCCAGTGTTGAGATGATATGCAAGCATTCCCAAACCTGGATCACTTCCCAAGGAAAACAGTGGAGTGGAGGAGGCTAAGAATGTAGGATTGATTGAAGCTTGAATCTTGAGGTGACTAAGATACTATAACAACAGCTCAAAAGGAATGTTTCATGGTGAATAGAAAAGTTTAGGTTTTATTGTTTGATTTGGTTTTGTTTTGGGTTTGGTCTTATCAAGCAGGAATAGAGAATCAAAAGCCTGATGAGATCAGTCATGGGAAAATGTAACCAAACTTTTGTATGATTTGTCATATGTATATTCAACTCTTATAAAAACATAAGTATGCATTTCATTGTTTATATGTGAGTTCGTGTGGCTATATACAATTGCAATATATACAATAGTGATGAAAATTACCATAGCTAATGTACTCTCATTATATGTGCAAATCTTAGGGGGAAAGTGATGCATTTGACCAAATAGGAATGAAAGGTATTTTGAAAACTAAAGAGTGTCTGTTCAGACAAGAATTCTATGGATAGTAACTAGTTTTGTTTTTATTAGTAAGTTTTACAAAGTTCCCAAAAGAAAGAAAGGAATTCAGGCAAGATCATCAGAGGAAGGAAGGGAGGGTGTTGAATTTGGTGAACTGCATCTTTCAAACTTAATTACAACAGAGTGACCTCTAAATAGTCAAGACAATGGGAATTGAGCAGGGAAACCCACCAGAAAAGTGCCAGAACCCTAAAGAAAAGTTGGTGGAGGAAGAGAGAGCTCACTGTTTCTAAGTAGCTATGTTCTCTTGCTTCTTCTTGGAAACAGGTATTGAGCAGGACACAGAGCTCTTAGCTGAAGACTTCATTTCCCAGACTCCCCATGCTACTCACTGTGGCTACACCTGTCCCTACACAAACAGAAACAATATGTGCCATTGCTGCTCCATAACCTTAAAGGAATGAAAAGCTGCCTGCCAGCATCTCCTTTCCTGAAGTCATTAGCAGTTGTTAGACACAGAGACAAAGCTAGCTGTGTGTTGAGGGAAATGGAACAACAATGTGAGAATCTTCAACACTGCAGCTTCCATGTAATGTTAATCTTCAAGACCAGAGAAACATTTCACAATTACATCCCTAGGTCAAGAGCAGGTAGACTTTCACCTTGGTTTTCTCAAGAGCCTTCCTGATGGTATTCAGCCAATGAAATGCATTGGAGTCAAGGGATACCTTCAAATATTTTGTTTCATAAGGCCTTTAGGTAACTGCTATAAATTGGAGGTAAAAGGGTTAAATATAGATACAATGATAAAAGAAGAGGGCTTTTAGGCCCAAGATCTTTAACCAAAAAAGATCTCTGGTTGGAGTGAATTGCAATGGAAACAGACAGAATTATGTAGTTTGGAATGGTATTAAGATTTTTTTGAGGACAGTGAAGTGCCAGACACATCATCATACCGGCCTCAAGAGCATGTGGCACTTTTACCCCTGGGCAGCTTCAAGCCCACACTAGAAAGTTACAATAATATATCTAATGAAAATCAGAAATATGTATATTAATACTAATAATATCAATGTTGATAATATTGATAAAAAAGTATAAATGTAAAAAGGCCTGTGCACTGCCCCTGGGCATGTTAACTGTGTGTGGGGGGAGGGGACCTTCAGAAAACCATCTTATGTGGCAATATAATTTTATGAAAATATCTCTTACATCCTATGAGACTGAAGCTCTTTCTGGACCTCATAGCCAGACTTAAAAATACACTTTGAGGACACTTAAGATTAAAGATTGCCACCCTACTGTCTATTCAGCCTTAAAACAAACAAACAAACTGCCTTTGAGAATAATGCCACAGTCCACCCTACTCGCCTTGGATTTCCCATGTAAGCTAATGCATGGAAGCATGAGAGTTGGTCGCATTTCCCCGACCTAAGCTAATGCATAGCTGTCATCTTAAATTATGTACTCTTCTTGGCTCTGACCTGGAGTATCACATGTGTCATTTGCTGAAGGCAGCCAACACAGAGGCGGAAAGCACCTTTCTAAATCTACCACAAAAGTTGAAAGCATCCATTTATGGACACTGGTTGATCAACAATGTTTGTAGCTACGCTTATTGTCTGGGTCAGTTGGAGCCAGTAATGTCATCCCTTGTAAAACTCTGTTGAGGATTCCCGTAAGAAGGATTTCCATTCCTTCCCTGTGTGATGCTTTCTATGCTGTTCAATAAAGACAGAGTTACACCACAGTTGCACAGCAGACATACACAGACACAGACAGTCTCACACACAGACGAAAGAAGCCCAAAGACAGGACAGACACACAGGGACAGACACAGGGATAGATTCCCAAGACAGCCTTCAGGCTCAAACAACATACAGACAGGTGACACGGGGAGCATGGAGACTTCAAATCTGGACTCACTCTTGGTTAAATGACTCGAAGAGGAAGAGCCTCTATTTCTCTTCCCAACGTGACACATGCATTACTTGTGACTTGGAGTTAATCACGAATGTGTTTAATTCATGCAATCTTATAATGTCTAGTCAATGAATAGAAACAAGTACACAATTCCTAATCCGAAAGTCATCCTCTTTATGTATTTCATACAGAGACAACTGGTGGGGTATAGTTGTGCTAAATCAATATATTTTTAGTTGTTCCAGCCCCAAAAATAACCGAAAATGTATAACTATATAAGCTGATGGCAAGGTTAATTTGTTTCTCTACAGAACATGTTTTATAGCCGGGTGGTGGTAGTGCATGCCTTTAATCCCAGCACTCGGGAGTCAGAGGCTGGAGATCAGAGACTAGCCTGGTCTACAAGAGCTAGTTCCAGGACAGCCTCCAAAGCTACAGAGAAACCCTATCTCGAAAAAACAAAAAACAAAGCAAAACAGAACAGAATTTTATGATTTACATGTATCTCATAATATTAAGTCTTATAAATAATTTTTGGAAAAACGCAGTGCATTTGAAAAATCAAAGACAAATTAAGATTTATATAATGATAGCCATGCGTCACTAGATGATATGCACATAGTATTTTACAGTGCAGTGTGCATTGCAATACGAAGAAATCTGAAAACCACTCTACATATGATAGCTACCTAAAGGGTGCTGCATTTAGGCAGTAGGATGACAGAGCTTGCAAAAAGAAAAGCTGTCTGTCATTGGGAAGATCTTTAAATGCTAAGTAGAAAACCAAAGTACATAGTAGTGTGCAAGGTAAGTTATATTTTATTGAAAATGAAGAAATGCAGGGAAGATAGAAAAGCAATAGCGGGGGAGAAGTGGCGTATGAACAGAGTGGATGGGAGACGGGAGCACGAGGGAGACGCCACTGTTTATGCTTAGAATAGTTACGAGAGTGTAATATTTAAAAAATTAAGAACATGCTACATGTATAACAGAACATGAGCAAATATGTGACTGTTTAAAGACATATAAGTAAAAATAGAGAACGAACATGTCCGTTAGTTGTCCCAAGTACAGGAAGGGTATGAGGTGGTAGGGGTGGCCATGATCTAGGTTCTAAATGGAGAGAAAGAGTACATCCTAATGAAGAAATATGCCAGTCTCCACAAAGTATTTTGTGAGGAAAAATATTTTCAGACAGTCTGATGGTCTTTCATTGTATAGAACAGCAAACAAAATTTAAACAATGACATTTCTGGTTTTGGCTGAAATGAAGTAGGGAAACTGCCCACTGACTGTGTTTCTAACTCAAGCTTAAAAAAAGAACAGAAACTATATTCTCTGAGTTGAAAAAAGAACAAACACAAAGTACTAGAAAAGGGGAGAAAGTACCAAGAAGCAATGCAGGAACTGTAGACTGTGGTTGATCTAGATAAGAAGATTAAATCAAAGCAACAGAAAACCAACCTGTGCTTTATCCATGGCACTATTTGCATTTTCTGAGTTCACTGTCTCTGTCCGTTTCCTCTTTCTTTTTCTAAGAACTTGGTTATCGGTAATTTCATCTGTCTGCAAGATCTTCTGCATTTTCTCAACTAGTCAGCAAAAGCGTTCTGGAACCGTTGAAGGCAGAGACTCCCATGTAGGTGCTGCTCTTCTGCATGCAGCTAATGCTTCTCCTTAAAAGCAAAACAAAACAGGGTACATCATGCTGCTATGTGCTTCCTGCCGTGTTTCACCCACCGCCCAATTGAGCAGACATTTCCCAATTGACTCAAAGCCTTTCAGCTTTGGCATCACCATCAAGATGCTCATGTTGTGATGTGTAGTAAGTTGGCTTAAAAGAAAATCAAATAGTATAAGAGAAATTCCCATCTGTTGTTCTTGTCAAGTAGCTATGAGAATCAACAGTTTTTTTAAATTATAAATGCATATAAACAGTATCACAGAGGACTGAGTTATGCAAGTCTAGGAAAATATATTAATAATAGTTGACAGCACCAGGATCAAAGATGAAAATATTCCTGAGAAGTCAATAAGAATTGCTTACAACTGAGGTTTGCTTTAAAAGGTGTTTTTCTTCCTGAAACTCTCAAGTCTCAGGACCAAGTGACTCACTCTATCAGTAAGGCTGCAATGGTGATATTTAACCTTGGCTGTGCAGAGCTGGTGCAGCATATTAGCTATCACTACCTCCAGTGTATCTGCTTTAATTGTTTTTTTTCATAAGCATTCAATTAAAAATAATAAAACATTGAAAAGACATCAAGTGTATGGATCTTCATGAAATATGTAGACTATTGAGCAAATGGTAACATTTCATCAAATTACTATACCAGCAAATATATTACTCAAAATTTTTTATTCACAAAATTCATAATAAATGTGGAGTACAAGTTTTTGTAAGTTATAGTTACTAATGCAAAGAGTGGGGTTTTCAAGATAACATTACAGTTGGGAATGGGGATGTACACGTCCATGTGTCAGAGATGAAGGCTGGAGGACTTTGTGTTCAAGGCCAGACTGGGTGACATAGTGAGATCCATTTTCAAATTCCAAAGACAAATTAAAAATATATTGAGATTCACCTCACTTTGGTCAGAATAGCTATGATTGAAAAACTCAAGGGAAAGCTGACTCAAATGAGTAGGGAAAAGGGAACCTGCTCACTGTTGGTAGGAGTAGAGACTGGCTCAGTCACTATGGAAATCTGTATGGCAATTGCTCAAAAAATAAACATGGAAATAAATAGAAGTAAAAATTGCATACAATCAAGCTATGCCTCTTCTGGGCATATACACAAAGGACTTACATCCTATCACAGAGATACTTGCTCACCTATGCTGCTCTATTCATAACAGTCAGCCTATGTGTCCATCAAAACATGGACACATAATAAAATTGTGCTGTGTACACACATTTTTACATTTCATTTATTTACTCAACTGTATACTGAAATTATAAAATGGTGGGAAAATGGATAGAACTGGAAAAATTATTCTGTATGAGATAACCTTGGCTTTGGAAGACAATGTCAAATGTTCTCTCTCTCATGTGGATTCCAGCTTCCACTCTGTAGATCCATGGATTTAACTTGAACCATCTGTAGAATCCAGGAACCTGGAAAGTGTCACTGTCAGGGAGTACCTTCAGGGAGGGGAGCTGGTGGACCAGTGGTTCTCAAACTTCCTGATGCTGCAGCCCTTTAACAGGGTTCCTCATGTTGTGGTGACCCCCAACCATAAAAGTATTTCCATTGCTACTTCATAACCGTAATTTTGCTACTGTTATGAATTGTAAGTGTAAATATCTGTTTTCTGGTGGTTTTAGGCAACCCCTGTGAAAGGGTCATTTGACGCCCCCACACCCCTTCCCACTCCCCACTCCCACTTCCCACAATGGGTCTTGACCCACAGGTTCAGAACTGCCAGGGCAGAACACAATTAATAGGAAAGCAGATAGAGGCAGGCGGGGACACTGGAGCTAGAATGGTGAGGAGGTTAGGGAGTGGGGAGGAAGGATTAACCAAAATGAAGAATCTGTGTAAAAGCCATATGAACTGGTACTACTTTGTAAACCAGTTATAAATACAGGTTAAGCTGGGTGTGGTGGCACACACCTTTAATACCAGCACTTGAGAGGCAGAGGCAGGTGGCTCTCTGTGAGTTCAAGGCCAGCCTGGTCTACAAAGTGAGTTCCAGGACAGCCAAGGCTACACAGAGAAACCCTGCTTTGAAAATACAAAGAGACAAACAAACAAAACACGGGTTAAACAATAACAACAACAGGAAGGGAGATATCTTGTTTGGAGAATAATGCTGCCCCTACAAGCCATTGCTTATTTAACAACAACAAAGAAAAACAATCCAGTGCCAGGTGAGGGATATGTACCTATAGGCAGGGAGGCACTAGAGGCTCCCAAAGTAATACTGATTCCTGCCATTCCTTTTGGTTGCCGACCAGAAACAGATGATAAGACCCTATTTCTGAAGATTCTACACACCTAGGTTCCAAGATATAGAGAAATCAAGCCTGTGTTCAAAGTTCCCCTAAGTCTCACTCCACCCTCTCTGGCTTCCATGGTGCCATCGAGGAAAAGGTACTGGAAGTCTTACCCAGCTGTGAACTCTACAAATTTCAAAGCTCACCTGCCAGGCAAGGTGTGCCCATTGGTACAATAGTGATGTGATTTTTATAGGGGTAGCCAACTGCTCTCTGATTGGATTTAAGATGAGGCCCACTCCACAGGAGGGTATCCTTAATAACGTAAATCTTGTCCAAAGACCCCATGGTTGGGGATTTTTATAAGCCTGTGGGGATATGTAGGGTCTCATTCTGTTGTTTAATTAAACTGACACAGTGCCAAACTCAGACTCTAGAAACTTATGTTTATACTCAAAGGCAAAAGCTGCCCTCAGACTTAGTCAGAGAAGCTTGTCTTTGCAGTGAATGTCATGGTGACTGCAGAGACTCACGACTACTCAAGTTGCTGAGAATACATTATAGATGAGAGCTAAAACCTAGACAGTCCTTTTAAACCACTCCCTCTAGGGGCTGAAGAGATGGCTCAGCAGTTAAGAGCACTTGCTGCATTCAGATTGCTGCTTTTACAGAGGACCCAGGTTCAGTTCCCACGTGATGACTCACAACCACCTATAACTCCAGTTCCAGGAGCTCTTATGCCTCCTCTGGCCTTCTCAGTGCACATACAGATATGCAGGCATATGTATATACATATAAATAAAACTAAAAAAAGAATAAAATAAAATAAAAAAATCCCACTCTCTCGAAGGCCCAGGGAAAAAGGGATAGGAAAGAGCTTAAGAAGACAGAGAAGGAGGCTGTGAAATGCTGTCTTCAGGGCAAAACACAGCCATTGCAAACACGATCACACGGCATTGGCAATTGCCTACATTGGGTTGGTAGAAGACTAGGACAGTCAAAAGTCAGTCATGTACTGGGGATGGCTTCATGGACCCTATTTTTCCCTGCTGAACTACTGCCTACTGAGGGATTCTCTGAGAGGGGTAGTTGTCTTAAATTGTACCCACTGAGGAGCCCACCAGGCTCAAATAGACAGTTTCAAACATGTGGTCACATGAACAGTCCTGGCTAAAGTCAATGTGTCCCAAAAGAAACACAAAAATCATGAATGTGGAAGAGGGACAGTAGGGAGGAGGAGAGATACCAGATGTGGGAAGAAAGGCGTGAGGGCAATCAGAATATCTCACATATGTTTATTAGATTGTCAAAGAACAAGTTTACCCTTACGACCCATGGGAAAAAAACGCATTCACATTCATGACAAAACTCCTAAAATTAAAACAGACACACTACTGAATTTAGCAACAATTCATAGAAATTTCTTTCCTGTGACATTAAGGAACACATAATAAAAAGAATGTCATGAATGATTAAAAACTATTCATTAACAATCACTGGCAGAGTAAAAATGCAATCTGCAGGATATGAGAAAATAACTCCAAGTTGTGTCTCTGACAAGGGACTAATAACCAAAACTTGGCACAGAAACAATTTGATTCAAAAGTGGCCAATGGACTTGAACAGACATTTCTACATGGGTATATATGTATTAGCTACTTTTTGTTGTTGTAGCAGAACACCTAGCAGAGTCAGTTTAAGGATTGCTTTGGTTCACAGCTTGGAGCTGGAAGCAGAGCTGGCCTTGGGTTCTCAGTTCCTGCCTCTAAAGCCCCCAGCTTGTCTCTATGGACAGAAGAATCTATACATCTCCAACCAGCTGGAGATGAAGTTCCAAACACACTAGCTTGTTGAGAACATTTGACATTCATGATAATAAATGTCAAATAAAAGGAAGAGGAAACGATGCAATTATATTAATCTCCCAAAATCCCTTACAAAGACGACTAACATCTGTAATGAAAATGCAGGTCAAAATCACAATGAGGGCCAGCAAGCTGGCTCAGTGGGCAAAGATGCCTGCCACTAAGCCCAATGATCTGAGTGTGATCCCTGGAAATCAATGGTAGAGAAGAGAACCAATTACAAATCGTTCCCCAACCTTCACTAAAAAATTAATATAATGAGGGTAAACAAATGTCAATATCTCAGTGAGATACTACCATATATTCATTAGCATGTCAGCTGACAAGAAAAAACAAGTACTGGTGCAATATGGAGAAACTGGAAACTTCATGCTGTGAAACCAGAATCTTGAAGAGATTTCGTGTCCCTATGTTCATTGAAGCATTAATCACAGTAGCAAAAGGTACCGAGGTGTCTTATCACCAGAGGAATTGATAAGCAAAAGGAGTGTGTATATACATCATGTCATTTGGTTTTGAAAAGAATTTCTGACATGCAGTATAGATGAACCTTGATGCCTGCGTGGTTTAAATGTAAATGAGTATTGTGTCTGGTTCACAAAGGCATAGCCACGTTGAAGACCCTAACACCTCAGTGCCATGGGAATGGCAAAGCCTTCTTCCCTAGATGTGGCTCAGAGGAATGGCAAAGCCTTCCCCAGATGTGGCTTAGAGGAACGACAAAGCCTTCCTCAAGTCTAAGTGCAGATGTTGACAGTGTTTGCAGAAAACGTTCGCCATAACTTCCTCCTCTTGTTTGTAGCCTGAAGCCTGCTCGCCTATAGAGACTGTTCCTACCTAGTAGGCTAATCCTTGTTCAGCTCTATGCAATA